TTTTTTATATGTATTAAAAACAATGAACAAGACAGTTACTGTCATCTTTGTATAGGTTTCTACCATAATTATTATAGAGGGTCTTCATTTTATGGTCACATACTTGTAACTTAGAAGTATTTTAAATAAAACCAGGAACTCCTTGTAGCTAATTCAGAAAGCTACTTGACTAATCATGAAAATCTGATTGCCACATGAAGAAAGAATTAAGAAAAAAGCATTTTGTGGGGTGTTCAAGCACCCCCCCCATAGTACTAACAGATGCCTTTACATTTCTTGCTAATTCCATAATTTTGCTTGCATTACACAGCTTCTTACAAGAGGGTAATGATCATCCAAGCTAGTTTAGGAAACTTATGAGGAGTTTCATCTTCACAAAGTACCAAATGTATGGCCATGTGTCAGACTAAGCATAACAATTACCTACAGTCGTCTGTTATATATTTCAAACAATAACTGCAATTTTACATTTACAAATCAATATTTCTGTTTGTTCATCCATTTTTAAACTGATATTTTAAAAACAAAACATAGGTGACATCAGTTTGAAAATAAGCTGAATTGAGGCCAATTTTAGGCACAAGGCCATTTTTTTTAAGCTCCTCAGTGATTTCCACTGTATTAATTAAAAAATTGGAATGTTTTTCACTGTATATTAACAAGTACTCAGAACATCATTAATTTTAAGCCTATCACAATTCAAATTGATCTCTAATCAATTTTCATTTTTTAATGCACATTTTTCATTAGTCATTATCTGTATATTGCCTCAACGATACAATGATTGATCATGGAATTTTATTTCAAGTTAATATATCAAGGCAAGTTTCTTGTGTTCAAAGTGAAAATCAATTTACTATTAGCAGATTGCAATTTCTGCACCTTTTCTCCATGTACAAGCAAATAGCAGCTGCACACTGCAGACTAACAAGGTTTTTTGATGGTTAAACAACACGGAAACAAAGGATTCACAGGTAAGCAAATCAAAATTTCCAAAACTTGTGCGCCATCAAGAACTTTTTTTCCAAAATGTTTTTGTATTTTAGTTTGAATTAGTATAAATGTCTATCATAAAAATCTTTTTTTATGTTTGTTTATATTTCTTAATCTATTTCTTTATTATTTTGCTGTCGAGTCATGACGCCAACATATTTGTATTTTCTGTGAAATGCCATTTGAGATTTTTCACCAAAATTCAAGCCATCTAAAGAGCTAAAAATCAATGCTAGACAGAAAGTACATTTTCCAAACAGCCAAAAGCCTTTTTTAATGTAGAATATTAGGATATATTATAAGTATATTGCCTGTCTTATGACATGGACAATTTGTGAAAAATGTTTATTTAACGAACTGTTAAATTTTATAGAAATACAGTTGAATAAGCTACTTACTGGGAAAAATTACCGACTTTAAACAAAAAATTAAATAAATGCTTTTATCAAGTTTACAAAGGAAAAAAAAACTAGTAAAACTTGTATGAGTGTGTGATGAAAAGTTCTCAGTCAAAACTAAAAAATAAAAAAAGGTCTAATATTTGGTCATTTGGTTAGATTTTGGGAAGTCATAACTTTTCAGCACCCCACTTAATTTTCTAAACTCCTATTTCAAATTTACAAATAAAACAAATTAAAAAAAAAAAAAAATGGTGGGTATTTTTTTTTTTTTTTTATAATCTTATGTCTGTATGGATTCAATGATGCAGTCAGTGTAGTCCGCATGCAGATGTGGTCATGTAATCAATGTCTGTGCACATACGGATTCCTCCATGTGCACACTTACAGATGCAGTTACATAATCTTAGTTTGCATACAGACACAAATATGTAATTCTATGCAAAAATAAAGTTGGAGAATTAACAACTTTAACTTACAATGGTACATTTTAGTGTGTGTGTGTGTGTGTGTGTGTGTGTGTGTGTGTGTGTGTGTATGAATGAATTAAAAGGTATCAGGAAGAAAGTATTATGTGCCTGTGCATGGTCAATGAATAATCTGAGATCATTGTGAATAATTTTTCATAGTCAGACACCTGCACACAAAAATCATGTTATCTTTAATATTAAACAGACACAATTTGGGAATGGGGATGCCATTGCTTAAAAAAAAATTTAAAAAAATTCTTCGGATTTTCTTTTGGTTATCTTGTATTTATCACTTCCATACTGTACATTTTTGCGTTTATTTATTTATTTATCTTTTTTTTTTCTTTTCTTTTTTTGTAGGGGAAAGGGTTTTTCTCAAGTAAGAGATAGTTTTGAAAAATAAAATTAAAAAAAAAAAAAATTTAAAAAAAATGTAATTTACATACATACATTTGTTTTTTTTAAATGTTGTACATTTTTGTACATATATACATTTATTTACCCAGAAGTTTTTTTCATCTGAGGTGTCAATTTGTCTTGCACACAAATGTTTCCATTAGAGAAATATGAGAAAAAAAAAAAAAAAAAAAAAAAAGTTTTTTTTTTTTTGCAAAATTATTCTCCTGCCAATTTCAAGACATTAAGACATTGGACTCAAACATTTTGCATGAAACAAAAAAGGTCACAAAGATGTAATAAAGAACTTAATTTCCCTTCTCCCATTTATAAAATTCATAAAAATGATTTTGAATGAAGCAAATTTAAGAGAAAACCTTTTCTTTCCTGAAATAAAACAATTCTTGTGATCATTTAATTATTTGCTTGTAGAATAAACATTTTAAATTATTCTTAAAATTCTTATTAAATTGCTTAAAATTATGGCATCTTTGAACAGTTCTTACATTTTTGTTTTTAAATGTTATTCTGAAGTTAATTGTTAATATTCCAAGTTTAGTACAGAATTGAATTCTTTCTTTCTTTTGATGCTGTAACCAGATTTCTGAATCCCTTCAGTCATCTGAAGGAAGATTAGAATATTTTAATTCTGCTGGTCACAGACTACAATGAAACAAATCTAAACTATTATAATGGAGTAATCTTTTTAACAATGTGTATACTATAAAAAAGTTATTTGAAATTAATTGGATTTTTCTGATTTTTTTTTTTTTAAATCTTGATAGAAAAAATCTTTTCAAATGTATCTATTTTTTTCAATTTACTGCAACCATCAAATAAAATGGCCGCTTCTTTATACAGAGGAACTCCATCCACATTTAATTCTTCAAAACTGTTAATAATTGTATGAATAAAAATTTAACTATGTTCAAAATTTCCTATTTGAATAACAAAATAAAATGAAACAAACTTCATTAGAAAATTTAAATATTACTGAAAATTTTTTACCTATTTCAGTTCAGGTAATAAAACACTTTCTATGCACATCATAATCTGTTTGAAAAATTCATGTTATATACTTTTCAAAACTAGAAATTTTAATTTGGAAAATTGAAATAATTCAGGCTGAAAAGAAATTTCTATTTTTAATTCAAAAATTGAATTCAGAGCATAAAAAAATTCCTTGTGATTTAAAAATTTTTTTTTTAAATTATAAATCCAAATTTTGTATTTCAAAAAAAAAAAAAACATCTAATTAAAAATACATCCCATATTTTTTTTGTTTGGCCGGAGATTTTCTACTTATTCCAAATTATCCCAAGAAATGTTCTGCATATATGCATTTCATGTAATTTTTTTTATTTTACATGAATAAAAAAACAAAAAAAACACCAACAGCCCTTCAGCCCTTCAATTAATTCAGGAAAAAAATTTCTCTAATGTGAAGACAAACCTAAAAGGTAACAGCAGCCACCTCCTACATTTCTTTTTTTTTTTTTTTTTTAGATATGAATTTTATTTGTATTAATAAAACAGATTCTGATAGTTTTGAAGAATAATTACAGAAATTGAGTAAAGGTTATGTAGCGAGGCTGGCTGTTTCAAGAAACACTTCATATTTGGTCATAACTTGATTGACTCAAGTGACCTCCCTGCCTTGTTCTCTATTAATTTACTGTTAATTTGGTGTCATGAGAAATTTGAAGAAAATGAGTGTGATGCTTATATAGAAATATTTCATGACTTTCTGTTAAAAAATTTTTTATATATTGGAGTTGAAATATCAAGACCAAGAGGAGAGGAAAAAAAAACAAAAAAAATAGAGAAAAATATCCAGAATGTGTGCCAACACAATAAGATTTCCAAAGTCATTTGAGTTTTTTTTCATGTGATCTTCCAACATGTTTGCCAATAATAAAAATAACTGTTCATTTCAGGGTTTTTTTTTTGTATTTTTTCATTCTTTTTGTTACCCCACCCCCCCTGCCAACATTTAGTTCTTTGCATGTACATTTATATTTGGGCAAACAAAATGCAAGTAGAGAGAGGCAAAAAAAAAAAAAAAAAATGAATGCTCCCAAAACCACCTGTTTCTACAAAAAAAAAAAAAAAATGCCAATTTCCCACCATCTAATAAATATTAAATTCTGCATCAGACTGAATAGTTGCCTGGTTGTTATTAAAATGTTATTTACATTTTTGCTTGTGTGTGTCTCTTAATTCTTTCCACGCCTGCCACATTTTATCAGCAGATAATTTGGGATTGAAGTTATGAGGGGTGTCGGGGTGAGAAAAAAAAAAAAAGCAAGAGAGAGAAATATAAAACATCCCAAATACTGTACAAAATGAATGATGGCTAATGACAAAAAAAAAAAGAAAAAAAGTAAGCATATCACAAAGAGAGGGTGGGTGTTCCAGAGAAGTGAGAGAACTTATTTTGAACATCAGTTAAACTGATGGCTTCTTTTGGACGGGGAGGGAAAGGGAATTAAAATTTTCTACCAAAAATTTAAAAATTATTACCTATACATATGAGAACTGAAAAACTTATCTTGGGGGATATAAAAAAAAAAAAAATAAAATTTTTAAATTTAAAAACTGATACTAAAATTAAAAATTTAGTTGCTAATTATTGATATATATTTTTTTGATTAAAAAAAAAAAAAAAAAAAAAAAAAATTTCAAATTTTAATCTGAGAGATCAGGGTCAGATGGGACAAGCAAAAAAAAAAAAGGTGGGGGTTCACATATTCTTTTTTATGTTTCCAACATCAGCTTCATCTTCATCACTGTTTTTATCGTTGTTTTTGCTGTTACTTAAAGAAGGAATGGTACCAGTTTCCTGTTTCTTTTTCAAAAGTAGTTGCAGCCGACCCAGCTCCTCCCTTTGTTGAGCTACCTTGACTTTTAAATGGCTATTCTGCATTTCATAAAAAGATGTCTGAGCTTCACGCATTTGATGCAGTGTTTTGCGATTTTCTCGGCATTTGCGTGCAGCTTCATTATTTCGGCGTCGCCGCTCAACGTACTTGGGATCCTTGAGCCTTTCAATACTAATTTGGCTAGAATCCGAATCTTGCAATTGCATTTCAGATACACTTGGATTATTGGCATCTAGGTTCTCCACACCTGGGCTCTTCTTTTCATTGTCCATAACTGAATTGTTGGAGCCGATACAAGTGTTATCATTCTCTTTGCATTGACTGTTGCGCTGATGGAGTATTTGTCCATTAGCATCTCTTTTTAAAAGCGGCAAAGGTCCATTCTGAGAAAGAGCCACATCCGAAAGATGAGAGAGTCCATTGGTTTGTGAATGGTTGAGATTGGCCAGTGTGGAATTGCCAAATGCTGTTGATGAGATCATAGTAGTGGGAGTCAGGGAATGAGTGAGTGCAATGGTATGGTCAGGGAGGCTGGCCTTGTGTCGCAATTTTAATGGAAGCGAGTGAGCTGAACGATGAGAGTTACTATTGGCAGTCGGCGAGGAGAGGCGATTGCGAGAGTTGCAATTCCATTGCAGATCCTCAGCAGGATCTGGAACTTCAGAAGAGTTATCTGAATCCAGCCTTGCCCGCTTGTTGACCGTCAACTGAAGAGGTTCATCCTCCTCTTGTTGAACCGGTAATTGGGAAATACTGTGGCCATTACTCATGGAGAAGTTGTTAATGGATGACGATGACGAAGTAGGTGAAGGTGTTGAGGCATTTGCATGGTTAGTGAGATTAATGCCATTCGGTAACTGTCCATGATGACCAACCACCACCCCAGCAACAGAGTGATCCACAGGAACAGGATACCACGATGATGGAGAAGTGCTAAAGCTTCTTCGACCATTAATCAACAGGTCACCCGTATCTCTGACCATATTTACACCTGAGGTAGTATTTTCAAATATTTCCGAAGCATTAGTGAAGTTGTCTATAGATCTGGAGGTGGTATTGGAGTTAGCAAAAGCCGTATTTGGAAATTCGTCTTGGGGCTCCTGCTTTATCATGCCCAATGGGACTATCTCAAACTTTAACCGAGAAGCCGGGGGCTGATGTGCACTTTCAGATTTAAAACTTTTCATTGAATAGCTTGATGTGACCGAATCAGCGGGAGATAAATTAAAGAGATTTTGCCTCTCACCGTTCATAGAATTTTGCATTGGCATGTCAGAGAAGGAAGCCTTAGCAGTGGTTATTGCAGAATTTGGAGAAGTGCGATGGAGTGCAATATTCACTGACAGGTTTCCTGGTGATCCAGAATCGTTAACAGAGCTAGATTCAGCCAGTAGAGCAGCCATAAGCGCTCTACAGTCTCTGTCAATTTGCTCAGAGTCCTCATTTGAGCCTTCAACATTTTCATTGACAGGAATACCAAGTTTCCGTTTCAAGATACATAATTGCCTAATGAGATATTTATTAAGAGCAGTAATATCTTGCACGCTCCGTTCACGGGCCATATCATACTGTCTGCGCTTCTCCCGAGATCGTCGGGCAGCCTCGTTGTTCTTCCTACGCTTCTCCCAATAGGTCGTATCCTTGCTGACTTCAGGGGTGAAAGTGCGCTGTTTCCGGGACTGTACGCGCCCACTTCCGTCCTGCTGCAACTGTAACTCTCCTTGAGCTGACATTGCTCCCGGTATTGGCATTCCGTTTGCAACTAGCATCCCGTCTTCGCTTGACCGTCTTCTTTGTCCATCTTGGTTCAAACACCCACTCTGACCTGACATCCCATCTCTGCTGGAACTCCTGCTTGTGTTGCTTGTGCCTGACGACATTTCTCTTTGAGAAGGCATTTGATTATCTTCTCCCGAACTCACACTGTCAGAACTGTCATTGGTCTCATGGCTGTTGCAGTGGTTGTCGCTTTTGTGGTTACTCTCAGCTAAGCCATTCATCTTCAGTTTCTTCTTGTCTGTATACCCGTATTTTGAAGAAACTTCCATGACTGCAGTGGATATTCCTTCCGGCTAGGTTTTCTCCTTTCAGGTGGCCACACGAATTGGCAGGTAATTGCAACTTGATTTCACTAATTCATCAAGAAGATGAATACAGTCACAAACCATCGCGAGGAAAAGATCCCACTGCACAAAAAAAAGAAAGAATATCGAATAAGACATTTTATACATACATTATAACGACAACAACAATGTCTAGAACTAATAATGGCAATCGTGTACAAATGACATGTCTGGTTGGTAGGCAGAATGCACCATATACAGTAACGCCTTAATTAACAAATTAATTCATACAAGTAGTTATAAAATTAAAAATACAAAACTTTTTAAAGTAAATATTCCTTACTAATTTTTTTTTTTTGAATGTTTTTAAATCATTCAATAAAAGAAATAAAATAAAAAAATTGCCAAAAAATAAAAATCAAATCTAAAAAGCAATTTTGTAATTAAATTTCATATTCTAATTTAATTCTTTTAATACGCACAATAAAAAGAATATCTGCATAAAAGAAAAAGTAAAATATACCAATATATAATAATCTATCTAAAACTCTTTTACAAAAAAAAAAAAAAAAAAAAAAGAAAAGGAAAAAATTCACATCTAGCCTAGCATCAATACATAACATATATAACACCTTGGTAACATTTAACTTTCATGCCTGCAAAAAAATGAAAAAAAATAAATAAATAAAAATAATAAAAAAAAAAATATATGATGTGTTAAAAGGATGGTTATTCCCTTGAAACCACAATTAAACATTTTTTTTTTTTTTTTTTTTTAACTCCCTTGGGAATGTTTATTCATGAGATTATAAAACCAAGTACAATGTGATTATTGTTAACATTTTATGAAAAGAAACAAATTTGGAAAGATATATTTTTATTCAAAAATTACAAAATTATCAAAATATATAAACCAACTAAAATGCAATATTTGTGGTAAAAATTACAGACATTCTGTAAATAAACATAAGGAAAACTTTGCCCATCCAATGATTATGGCAGTGTCTCAACCATTTTAAGCAACGGCACACCTAGGAGCAAATGAAAATAGCACACTTAGCAAAAATTTTAAATGTTTAAAATTAAATGTTATAAAATAAAACCATAGATTTAAAACGCACACAAATATGAATTTATTTTATTTCAATTCAATGATTTGTGCAGCTTATTTATTATGAAAACTTTTTCAGGTAATTTTTGCAAATTGTTCAATATTTTGCGGCACATTAGTGCTCCATGATACGGTGGTTGAGAATCACTGGAATAGGGAGATACACTCAAAATATTGAGGATTTGTGTTTTTGCTTAAAATCTAAAATGAAAAAAAAATTAGTTTTGTTATAGTTGGTTCACATATTTTTATAAAATTTTTATTATTAAAATTCTAATTGCTTTTTTTAAACAAACATTACTGAGAGAGTAAAAAAAATAAAAATAAAAAACAGTATAGATAGGTTAGGCTATCATCCGGTTCATACTCCTCCCAAATCTTAGGAGTAGAGGTTCAGCCCTTGCTTCCTGTTTAGGATTGGGTTTCTGATTCCTTCAAATCTGTACTTCTGATGTCTCCACCTGAAATATTATTCAGTAATTATTACTATTTTTTCTTTTCCCAATAGGAGTAGATAGCTTCGACTATCATCCGGTCCCCTCCATTTTTTTTTTTTTTTACAGGACTAGATTTATCCCTTGTTTCCTATTTGGGATTGTGTTTCTGGTTCCTTCTAAAGTCTACTTCCATTCACTGGTCTAGAATTATCTTTCCTGAATAGCCCCAAGAATTTCATTTCTTGCACTTTCTTACACTAATAACGTCATACAGTAACCCTCTACCTTGAATGGCCCTTGGGCCTTGTATTGAGTGAATATTAGTAAAAAATACAAAAATTTTTAAAAAAAATAAAAGAAAAATAATTACATCTGCTTGTTCAGTTGCAAGTTGGTATTCTCGAAAAACTGTTGAGAAAGAAGTCCAGTTTTCTTTCAAATGTTGTTCAAATCTGAAAGAAGAAAAAAATGTCTTTAAACAACTTTTACTTTTTACAAAAGTATTTTTCTTATTACTTTAAACATTATTTTTAATGGCTACACACAATGGTGTTGCTATTCAGTTTGTTTTTTTTCTTTGTTGTTTTTTAATTTTCTTAAACAGTAATATTAACAACAACAACCAATTGAGAAGTCTTACTAATGAAAAAAACTGACAGGAATCACTTTTTTTTCTTATTAGGACTTCTACAATGTATAAAAATAAACAAACAAAAAACCCTTTCACTTGAAAAGAAATTCATGTGAAACAAAAACAGTCTCCCCCTATAGATCAAATAAAGGGTTCAGTTTGGAATTCCCTAGAGGTCACCCAGATTGACACCAATTGCTTTCCCAATTCAGTCTAAGAATTAAAAATAAGTTAGTTGACATAAATAATTTTCTTGTTTTAGAATTCTTTCTTTTCGCTTCAGCAAAGCAAAAAATGACTGACAATTTCTCAAGAAAGATCAGAAATATGCAAGTGTTGAAATAGCTAAGGAATGTATTAAAGAAAAATACAAAATATACGTTCTTTGAAGTATAAATGCTGACAAGAATAATCATTTATTGTAAAACTGATCTTGACGTTGAAAGACTCACATTAAAAATGAGTGATCTCAGGTTGATAGAGTGTAGACTTTATAAAATTCAAAGTATACAAATACTGCCAACATTTATACTTTCAACTGATGTGCCGTACTAACAAATAATCTAATATTGAAAATTGAGGCATATCTTTAAGAGAAAAAAAATATATATATATATATATATATATATAAGGATATTAAAACACTTTATAAAAAAAAAAAAAAAAGTCACTACACAATTATGTTTCAACACCATATGTCTCTTCTTAAACTACTGGCAAATGAAGGATCTTTCACTCAACAGTAGTTTAACATCACCTGAAGAGAGATATTTATGGTGTTGAAACATAATTGTGATTTTTATAACACATTTTAATATCATAAAATAAATAATATTTAGCTCTACTACATATTGAGACCTCTTTTAAATTAGATGTTGCCTACAGTGAAATCATATTACATTTGTTCTCATTTTACCTGTGTGTGTGTGTGTATGTGTGTATATGTATATATATATATATATATATATGATGGGAAAATCAGAAAATAAAATATGGAGTAGAAAATTCTGGTATTTTTATTTTTGCATTGTTTATATTTCACTGATTAAGCAGGTTTTTCACATGTCCTGTCAAGTAGCAGGTGTATATAATTAATATCTGTTTGCATATTACAATTATAGTTGGACTATGTATTTTATTGGTAATGTACATGCTTGTGCATATATGCATACATTTGAGGTGACCAGTGGACAATTTCATCTATGTTTGATAATTGTCTACGTGTTCCTTGGGAGATGTTTTGTGTGAGAGTGAAAGAAGTTACACCAGTTGGGCTTGTAAATAGACAGATCTTAGATTCTTTACATATAGATTTTATAAAAGTTGGTGATATAGTAAAGTTTGTTTGACATGTGTTTATAGATGGCAAATATTTATCAGCACACCTTCTACATATTTTCTTTGTAATAATCTTTTCTAATTACTTTGGGATTCTAATCTATATTTGATTCCAATTCATATATACATATATACTGGGGAGAAATATAAACAAACATTGCTAATGGTTATATACTGATGGAAAATGCTAAAAATGAAAACTAAAATTTCTGAGACGCAGTGTGTTGAGATGAAGGTGATCCTCATATTGAATATGGATCACCTTGGTTGAGACCCAACAACTCAGCTGATATGCTTTATTTTCCCCATAATCAATACAAAATTTGTTAAATTCAAAATGTTGTAAACCTGGATACAATTTTACCATGTAAGATTCAGAAATCAGTGAATTTTCCAGGCATTTTGCCTCAGTAAATTACAGTTTTTCTCTTAAAAAAAAAAAAAAAAATAAATAAATAAATAAAAAAAATAAAAAAAGCAATCATTTTTAAGTAGAAGATTTTTTTAAGGACAATCCATGTCATAGAATATTTTTATTTCATCATTGAATACCCAACATTGTTTTGTGTATATGTGTGTGTGTGTGTGTGTGTGTGTGTCTTCTGTCTTAATTCCTGTTCTTTTATTTTATTTCTATTCCTGTCTTTCTTTCTTCTCTCTCTCTCTCTCTCTCTCTCTCTCTCTCTCTCTCTCTCTCTCTCTCTCTCTCCTAAATGTTTTACTACTTATATTTTTTCATAATTAGTAACCCCTTTATAATACATTGTTTGAGTGATTTTTTTTTTAAATAAAAAAAAAAAAAATTCAAGTCATTTGAGTTTAATGGTTTATAATTTCAATCTAATCATATCTGTAGAAGTCAAAATGATGATTTTAAAATAAAAAGACACGATAAGTATTTTGTGAAGATTTAAACTTCAATTAAATACTATTGCGTGCGTGCGTGTGTATGTGTGTGCGCGCGCGCGATCCAAATATTTATTACTGGTAAAGTATAAGAACTAAGGGGAGATAATTAGTGTTAAATTTTAAAATTTTCGGGGGAAAAAAAATCCCAGTGAAATTTCTTTTCAATTAGACAGTTATAATTGCATACAGAAAGCAAATTCATTCATCCGCGCTGAATCCACTAAAATACATGTTATTTTATTTACTGAATTTTAATTTAACACACCATATATAAATACACACACCACATGCAGGCAAGTGTAAATGCGTACGTACTCACTGACACTCCTGCTAATAACCGAACATAAGCCCCTGTATCAATTACTATATGCACATACACTTAGAGGTGGGGTGAGAACGGAACGAGGGAGTATAAGAGAGGGGGAAGAGAAAAAAAAAGAGAGGATTCTCAAATCTAGAAGGCGATTAAAAAAAAAACTCAAGTGTGTCATGTAAAAGGGTGGGAAGAATGAGATAAACGAAAGAAAAAAGAAAAAAAATCAGTGCTGAGAAGAAGACC